ATGAAGAATGTTTGTGTGGTGTGAGTTGTTGAAAGATGATGTGAAGAAGAGAATTTATAACCAAAAGTTTAGGAGAGAATTAGGTGAAACTTTCTTCACATTTCGGTTGATTTATTTATTTGAGAAAAAAAACAAAAAAATATATAATAGTTATAAATAAGGAACAAAATCATATATTTGAGTTAGAGAGGTTAAAAACCCTAGTCGCCAGAGAAAAAAAGAGAAAAAAATATGATTTGAGTTTTCTCCTCTCCGATGTCCGGTGCTTTTACCGGCTTCGTGAGAGGGAGATGATTATAATTTTATGTTCGATATGGAGTTTAAGGGATGTCCATGAGATTTTTTTTTTAATTAAAAGACGATGCAATGTTATTCACCATCTGACTTTTTTAGATCTAGTTTGTGATTCCCTTCATTAAGGTTAGTTTGTGATTCCCTCATTGGGTTAGTTTTATGGGTGAAGTTTTTGGTTGAGGTTTCTTTTTCCTCGTAGAAGATCTATAGTTTGTTAGTATCTAGTCAATCTTAGCTATCTATTTGATTTAAGTTTTGCAGTTCAAAGTTGTTCAACGACGGCTTCACTTAAGCCAACTCGGAACAAAATTGACAAAGGCAATCAAATAAGGAGATTTATCTAAAGTAAGAGAATTGTTGTCATATTATCGTAATARATATTGGATGTCCGGCTGCTATTGTGGATTCGGRAAYACCTACTCGTCTAYYTTCGATTCGAAACAAGATCATCTTGGTATCGCTAATGTGTCGTCAACGATTATTGTCCTCACTTGATTTCTGGTGCGGAAAGGAGCATTAGTTTCTCTTTATATCGCATATGTTGAACTTTTTCAATGATGTAATCTATTCTAAATCAATTTCAATAATATAAAGTGTTAAAAAAAAATCATATATTTGATTTTAAATCATAGTTAAGCTAATAATGTGTTAGCGTAGCGATCTACAATTGCATTTTTTAATTGGTTTATCTTCTTAGATTCATTTGTAATTATATTTATCTAGGGGAAAAGATATATTCAATGATATTATGGAGAGACTTTTTTTTTTGGGGTCAAATTATGGAGAGACATTTGGTTCGAAGTTTCAATGATATTCAATGTAATTGGACAATTTGGTTCGAAGTTTCGAACATTAATTAGTTTTGTCTTTTGGGTGCTTTTTGTTGAATCAATATTTTCTCTTTGAAAAATATTGTCAAC